CACACACACACACACACACACACACACTGATCTGGCAGCTTATACATGATGTTCATTAACCTAAAGTGACGCAGGTGGAGAGAGGAAAATAAAACCATCTGCTGCAACTTCATTTAACGTAAACAGTTTAATAAGATAAATATATTATTAACAGATACAGATATATAATTAAAATAATGAGTTATTTTGGTCAAACCTTGAAAATCCCACTGTGTGTTATGCATTGTGTCCCACTCAGATTAGGTGTGGATGATTCACAGTYAGTACCTAAAAATTTTACATCAGTGCCTGTAAAATCCACTGAGCTACATCCATGTTTGTGTTTTGCTCAAGTGGCTATGGCAGCCATCTTTGACAGGGCTTATTCCAAAGGTGAATCGTTGTACATGTAGATTTAATGATCATTAACATTGTTGGGGTTTTTTTTTTGTTTTGTTTTGTTTTTTTCCTTCAAAACATTTTTCAGAAAGTAAGTCATTCCACAATATCTGTGCTATTTTAACAGTTCATATATCAAAATGTACCGGATATCCCTTTTTGTATCTCAGCAATTTATACTTTTTAAGATATTTATCTTTTTTCACCACTTTTGTTTTYATTGAAAACTAATGGAAACATCTTCAACATCCTCAGAATCCTTCAACCTTTTCCTGCACTTTGCCCCTTTTATTTCAGTTCTGTTTTTTTACTTCTTTATGCTAATTTTAAAGAATTAGCATAATTCATCTTCATTTTTGCTAATATTAGCTTTTTAGCTTTTCTTTTTCTTATTCTGTTCATTTATTTATTTTATTGTGCTCCTATCAGCCTTTTTTCTGCTTATTAAAGCTTTTTGTGCTTCTTACAGGTGTCTTCTGCAAGTGAAGCTACTTCTTTTTTAGCAATGTTCGGCTAATTTTAGCCTTTTTCAGCTAAATTCACTTTTTTGTGATAATTTTTAGCTACTTCTTTCAGATGCTTACTGTATTTATTCATGTATAATACGATCATTTATTGAGCTTAAAAAGCA